ATATATATATATATATATATATATACGAAAAGAGAAAATGGAATAGAGAAAAAAGTGAGGTTAAGAACAAGTGCAAATATGGCGGATAGATCCAGAATGTCCTCGAGTGAAAACGATCTTCAAATTCTTCGTATATCTTATGTAAATACCAGATCGATCTAAGAATGGCAATTTCACATATCGTAGAGAGTAAGTCAAGTGCCATTACTTGTGTTATATGCAATACAATAAATATCCGTTCGATACTACGCCTATTAATTTCAATATCGAGTTAACGACGAATAAAAAAAAAAAAAAAAAAGAATAACAAATCGTTAAAATTGCAAATAAACCAAGATAATTAATTTCACGGTAAAATTATACACAGTCAAAAATTATACTATTATAAAAATTGTAACTTATCTTTTTATCAGAAGATTCTCAAAGAAGTCAAAGCTGATACGTTTGTATTAATTATCGGTAAAATTCCAAAAATTTGAAATTTTTATCGCAAGAAAATTAAAGAAATTAAAAAAAATTAAGGAAATCGAATATTTTCCCTTACACAAAAAGAACGAAATAAATACGCTGAAACGATATAGAAAATAAAATATATGACAGCGTCGACGTGCATAACATAAGTTAATGGAAACGATCGAAATTAATTTATAATTTACGTTCAACGGCGTATTATTTAACTTCCCCCTACCACTCGTAACAAACGTGACTGAATTTTTGCCAAGGTTTTACAAGGCTCGAGGAAAGTCTCGTTGTTTGTACCCGGTATACGTGCTGTTTCTCAGAAACGGACAGGTCTAAATAGACTTAAGAGGAAACGTTCTCTTAGAACGAGTTAGACAAGTTTGGAAACAGGATATCTTAAACTAGTGATAGTGTTTTGACGTTGTAATACGTCACGTTTAATTTATGCTGAAGTTTCTTTGCTTCCAGAATTTTTTTTATGCTTAAATCAACAATCCAAATTGTTTATTTATGTATATGGTTTTAACGCTTTTACTCATCTTCTAAAAGATTTTTATTTAGACGAGAAATGTAACGAGAAATTCGAGTTTACATATAGACACCCAGTATATTACCTTATTTCCCTTTAACTTTTGTAGGTTAGTGCAATTTATCCAATAATTATTAGCATAATTCGTTCGTATACTTTGCTTATCTAGATGAAATCTTGTCGAGCACTCGATTTATGTAACTATTACACGAAACACGTTCACAATTATATGCTTAAATATCGAGAAGTGAATATCAAGCCAAAAATTAAGGGAAACATTTATTTTACTTATCAGCATTAACCACATTCTCTGTCGTTTCTAAAATTAACGAAATACTGTGATGCAAATATATATTATATAAAACGAGATATAAATGTTGTAATACCTTCTCTGATAATTTATGAAAATATTTGTCATTAAATTCGAAGAAAACAAATATATTTAACGAAAAGCTATTAATCAAAGAAAAATATTATTATGGAAATCATTATCAATAAAAATATTTATTGCATATAATATCATGCAACATTAATTCTCATTGCACGAATCACAAATCCACAAATCCATAGTTCCATTCGAACAATTATATAATCCTATATATATATATATATATGGAAATATATGAAACAAAAATTTAACGATTCGAGCACAATATGTAGAAACTCACCTGTGTGGAAAATGTGAGACATGATCTACGTCTGAAAATTGATTCTGAAACTTGTACATTTTCATGCATATTCTCCAATCCAATTACAGGCCACTTAACAGCCTAATAACCGTCTCATAACCCTATTGACCGCGAAACACACGTGGTGTGCATCTACCTTGTCGAGAAGGTGTATGTCGTCATCGCGCGGGAAACCGGCGATCAAGAAGCGTTTCTCTCAATTTACAACGCGAGAGGCGAGAAATAATGGTCGATAGATATCTAAGCATGTTCGAACGATTGCTTGGCTGATGAAACAGGATGCAATATGGCGTCTGATCCGTCTTCCTCGATCACGATTTCGTTACGATGTCCATTAATCAGTGTATCGATCCTCTCTAATATCGTGTAATTTAATTTTTTTTTTTTTTTGTATGAATATGATGCGTGTCTGGGTTCTTATCTGGTCATTTTATGTATTTTTTTTTTTTATAATTATACGGAAGTTTCCTAATAGATATTTATTAATAATTAGTTATCTGTAATTTTAAATTGTCGTTTCTTTTATTGTCAGTGATTATTTATCTAAATTATACGTATATCGATACTTTAATAATAATGTAGTATATATATTTATCTGAGTGTTTATCTATATATATATATTTTATAAGTTGTTTTTTCTCTCGTTAAACTATTTTAAGTTTCGTTATTAATTTTGTAATGCATTCAAGAATAATATATTTATTCATATAAATATGAATAAATATAATTGCATAACTTTAATCTTCATATTTCTTATTATTATAATTTCCTTCCTATTTTCTTATCATTTTACAAGTATTTTAATATATTGCTTATCAAATAAAGTTATGATATCATCGTTTCGAAATTTAAATAGTTACGACGATTTGAATTTGAATGGAATCCATTGAAAAAGTCATTGATACGAAGACAATTTCGATTTCGAACGTCCACTTTCCTGACCCAGATCACCGGAAGGCAAGACCATTCAAGGCCTATGTTCCGTGTCGTTCATATTCAAGAAAGTGTAAATAGAATTTTCGTGCTCGGTATTCATCAGATCTCTCGTTCTTATTCCTCATTGTTAAACATACTGTTCACGTTTCACCTGGACGTGTCATGCTCCGCGAGAAACAATTAATCACCTTCGATCACGATCCTTCGTTTTCTACGCGCCCCCTACGCGAATTCTTTCACTTGAGAAGAAAGTGCGAACGGAAATTCAATTGAAATTAAAAAATAAATATTTAAATATTTAATAAAATGATAGGAAGGGAATTATAATAACAAGAAATATGAAAATTAAAATATTTGCATCTTGTTTTCTTGGTCTATATATTTTTAAGATGCAATTGGTTAATACATACCAAAGGGTTTCAAAGCATCGAGAAAATTCTTTTTCGTTAGATATCTCTTCTTTTCTAGTAAATAATAATTAATAAATATTCAATGATCGTATTTTCTGAACACTGGATATGGATATTTTTGATGCAATTCAATTTAAAAGTTTAAATTATTCTGCAAAATTCTTCTTTCGTGTAATTTTCTCTCTAGCGAATATTAATAAATAACTAGTGACTGTCTAGGGATACCTATATCTATTGAGATTTGTGATATAATTAATTTATCATTATTAAAGAAGTTATTTCAGTGATTTTCTTTTTCTCTGAACATTGATAAATAGTTTACTAGTGAATATCTAGTGATAAAATCTTTCCAACACTAGATTTTCAAATATATTTCCAAATAAATAAAAATATCATATTTATTATGTTCGCAGGTAATGAAGTTTTATTTAATTAGGCAACTAGCCATCGATCACGGAATAAATAAATATATATCCGAGATCGTACATTAATTAATATATCTCGTATGTTTGTCAACATAATTATGAGAACTCTTTCGATGTTTTTTAATTAGTGGATATCTCTGCGTGATGCATCGCGCATATCGTTCGTTTCGGCCTCGGTTCAGAATGATTTGCTTGTTATACGATACGAAAGTGTTATTCGATATGTAAATTAATTCGATATGTATTCTTATATACAAATTGGACAAATTTTATTTTTACGAATCAGGGGATATAAATTTGAAACTTGAGACAAGTCTCCAATTATATTCTCTATAATTTTGGTCCACTTTTTGTGAATACGATTAAAACAGAAGAAATTTGAATGAAAATCTTTGATTTCGATAAATTCTTTTGATTGGAATGTTCATGGCGAATGAAAAATCATTTGATTCGAGGATTTTACAATCTACTATAATTTATTATTAATAATATTTGTAGAATTTTCTCGCAAGCTTATTCATAGAATGGAATTGATAATTAAAAATTTTAACGAACATCTTGAAATGAATTTTTTTTTTATTTCATTTCACTTCCATTTTCCAAATAAGAATTTATCCGTTTATTTTAATATTTCGAAACGGAACAAATTGCAACGATTTTAACAAATCATTTCGTCATCTTGGAAAACGTTCGAAGTAGGTCGTATTAGATTAGCTCGTAATTTTATTTATACACCGAGCTCGAATTAATTTGTCGCCTCGGGGATCTTTTTCACTTCTTTTTCATTTTTCCCTTTCTTTTTTTTCTTTATTTATTTATTCTTTTTTTGTGTAAAATAGCATGTCGAATTTTTCATCCCGTAAACCAAAATTCTCGGTAATTCACCTAAAAAATTTGTTAGAAATAAAATCAATAAATCCAAACAATTCGCCTCGTGTATACAGCTATCCAATTAACATTTATTTATTTATTTATTTATTTATTTATTTATTTATTTATTTATTTATTTATTTATTTTCGAAAGATTCTGTTTAAGAAACAATTTATGTTGAACTTGCACTTTAACGAGTGAGTTTGAAAAAAGACAATGTGAAGTTAAATGAAAATTAGAATTTTTGGAAATTAATTTGCATTTCAGTTTTACAATCTATTTTTTAAATTTTTCTATCATTCATTTCTATAATTGTACGAATTTTCAAGATTCGTGTTAAAAATATTTGATCACACTCTCTAAACGATTCAATAAATAGGAGGCTCTTCTTCTGCTCGTTTCGTGGAATCTCAGCATTGGTCGTTTAATTGAAAACTTTCCATAATCCCTTGGTAGAACCGGAAGTTTCTAGTGGCACTTGTATCGGGTTCCACATGGGGAATATCCAGAAGACATTTCGAGACCTCTTTGCGGATAGAAGATAAATAGATTTAACCGGGAAATTTATAACAGAAATTTATAACGGAAAGTGAGGAAGAGAAGAACACGGGCACTCGAGAATATTGTTTCGAAGTGGGATCTCGTAAATTGCATATTTCGTACTTGTATCCAAAATACTGAAATGAGATCGTTTAAATCGATTATAAAAATTTGACAATTATTTAATTAATTAGGGATTTAGTTTAATAATCATTGCGCAGAATTAATTTTTATAAAGAATATACCGATCCAATCAAATATTAAACAACGTGATCTTATTAATCATGATTAAATGTGTGAGTACATCTTCCAATCTTGATATTTGGAAATGCTGGACATTTGAGTTATGTTCCACTCCAGTCGCTTTGAGCAATGCGTCCATTTTCCCTCCTCGTAGCGAATCTGGGTCGTTATAATTCGCTCCTAACTGCCACGTAAGTACCACGGTGCGTGGATCTTAATATGCATAGCTTAATGCTGCAGACAGTTGCTTAGTCTCTATCGTCTTTAAGTGACGCGCTTTGAATGAAAAAGCAATACACGTCGTTAAAATGAAGGGAAAGTTATGACGACTTTTAGTCGCTCTTCAGACATCCGATTAGCCTTTCTTTCTTTCTTTCTTTCTTTCTTTTTCTGTTTTCTTTTTTACTCAAAATATTGAATAAACTTTGAGGAAAAGTTTTTTTATCTTTTCATTCGATTAACGAGATATGAATTCGAGTGAAATGGCGAATGGGTAATTTTGGAGAGGACGAGATTTATAATAAATAATGATAGTTTTTTTGGAAATAATTTTTTTAATTTTTGGAGCGTGTATTGTTGTTATTGTTCTTTTGAAATGATAATTTTAAAATTGATTACTGTATTGATAAATAAAGGAACAGTCGTTGATTTGTACGAAAATTTTTTTGTTTTCGTATTGGAGTTTTGAAAATTGAAATTCTTCCCCAAAAAATATTTTTATTTTACTCAGAATGCAATTTTCTAGAAAATTGTCTTTTGTAATTTATTAATTAAATTATAAAAACATGTACAATTTTTATTTTTCTTATTAAATGTAAATTTTTAATCGACAACATGGAAATATATTTTGTTTTTATCTTTTTTTTCTTTGAGATATTATTTCGCAATTTTGTATTTACAATTTTAAATTAATGCGCGAGAAATATTTCAATTTCGAGCCCCACGCAAATAAATCCGCATAAATTCCGTCACGTAATTTGCATTTATGATTTATATCATTCTTCCATTTAACGAAATTTATAAATATATTCTCTGATTATGTATGGATTACCTAAATGTATAACCTTGATAAATTCGATTTCCAATAAATCTTAATAACATTTTGACTGAAATTATCGAATGTATAAAAATTACAAAAAATATAAAATTGGAACTAAAAAATGGTAGAAAACTCAAGTCAAAATAAAGAAAAAATGATTACCCAATTCTCTTGAAAAGCAATCTCCACGGATTAATTATATCTCTACAACTTCCTCTACTCTAGAAAAATTCAAAAGCGAAGCGAAAAATCCATGAAAACGTTGATCGACGAAGCAATAACTGTTTCCATGCGCGGAGGAAAGCAAGTTTTTTTCTTCTCGATGGCTGCAGCGGATGCAGCAGCTTCGATTACGGCGCGTGCCGGAAGCTGTGTGGCGTCTAGGTTGCGGCACCGGAAGCGCTCGGAGGATGTTGTCCGTTTCGAACGAATACGCATCGATCTCTCTTCTCAAAAGCGTACGTCACAAAATGCGTGCTTTTACTGCTTTTTCATCAGTCATATTTTTGCGCGAAAAAAAGTCTTTGTAAAGTCCTTTATAAAATCTTCTATGAATAATTACATTAAAGTCACTGATACATTAATAACTGAAAAAACAAAGAAAAATTAATAAATAATTTTAGAATTAAAATTTCACAGGTAGAATTTTTTGACGAGTCAAATTTTTAACTTCATTCGTTTAATATCTCATTCCTAATAATAAGCTTTGATCGTAACAAATAAATTTAATAATTTTCGATGATGAATTTTATCCGAAATCGTTCACGAACAAAACTTTTCACAATTTTAAAAGAAACAAAAGCAATTTCTCGTTTCTTATTTTGCGGTTGCAAATCGTATTGTGGATATTTTCACGAGAGGAAACGAAGAAGTAGCGAAGGAAGGAGAAGGATGGAGAGAGGGGAAAAAAAACGCACGAGCGTGCACGTAAGCGCGTTAACGAGCACGCGAGACGAAAGAGAACGTTACAGGATAAGTCGTGGAGTCGGGTTTCCCAGGCGTTTTTCACGATACGGAGATGCTTTATTCGCAACATTTTTAATTATTTCGAGCGTTTTCGTCGCGCGTCTGAGCGGAATGAATGGAACACTCGTTGCAACTCGTCGAGCGAATTCGTTGCAACGCTGGTTCGATGATCGGAATTATGATAGATTTAAATTTTCTAATCTAATTTAGCTACTTCGAATTAAAAGAAAAATATATATATTCGAATTACCGAGCATTCAATCGTCTCCAATTTTCCAAATTCTTATATTCTCGAATCTTTCGATTTTCTCTCAAATTTCTCTCAATTTCGAAAATCTAACCTGTAGTGGATGCAGAAGAATGCAGAAGAAAAAAACTTCTGGATTTCTGCTTTTCTCCGCGCATGGAAGCAGTTATTGCTTCATCGATCAACGTTTTCATGGATTTTTCGCTTCGTTGGTTGGTTTTTTTTGAATTTTTCTAGAGAAGAGATCAAATTTCTAACCTCTTCGATTTATTCCTTTCTTCCAATTTTAAAGATTCTTACTAAAAAAATAATTAAAACTTTCCAACGTTCAAATTTCACCTGCAAAAAAACGATCAATCACTATTTCAACGTAT